GCCGAGGATGGGGAGAAAGGAGTTCCGTTCCGAGAGAGGCCCGTGCGGCGGCGCACAGCGACAGCGGCTGGCCGGCTCAGGTACGTTAGATGTGACTGCCCGGAGGGAGACTGCCTGGCAGCGTCGGGAAGCGCGGGCGGCCGGTCCCTTCCTGCTCCTTGCCTCAGCGCCTCTGTCTTGGCCTTCCGGAAGCGGGAAACCTTCCTCCCGGTTTTCAGGCTTCGGTGGAGACCCTTATTTTTTCCACCACTAAGGTTAAGAGATACCGGAATAGAAGTACCATAGGAGATGGTGAACCTTCTGCAATTTCTCCATTTAGCCAGACTCCCTTTTGGGGCAGAAGACCACCCTTGAGCACCTCCCCAAGGGGTAGCTCCTTTGCAGTGTGACTTCTCTGATCTACCCCTAGGAATGAAGAGTCTTCTGATAACTCGATAGGGCCCTGAAAGTCAAAGGGCAAATGAGATCTTGTAGGACATAAGTTTGTGATTGTTTGAGGCGGGGGGTCATCCACGTTTCTGAATGGAATTGCAGGAGCGTCAAAGCGGTGCCTGTGAAGAAGCGCGGCAGTCCTTTAAGTGGAGCAAAATGGAGTTTTTCCATTTTTGCCAATATTTTGAAGACAGTTCAGTGTATTGTGCATTTGCTATAAGATGAGAACTTTATGGAGTATTGTCTTCAAGAGCATAAACGATGACTACCCCAGCCCTGGCTTCCTCTTTCAGCTTGTGTCGTGGTGTCGCTTTTTTTCTCAGAGAGAAGCCCTGAAAAGACACAAATCTCTTCTGTGATGCGGGCCTCCTGCTCTCCTGAAGGAGGATGAGCTCCCTGCGGCTTTTGTCCGCGGCTGCAGTGTGTTCGTCTTGATCAATGAAAAGAGGCCGCATCGGATGGAGATGAGATTTCAACTGCTCTGGGAGTCACGCATCTCCTCACGTGGTCGAGGCCTTCACAAACCCAAAGTGGAACGGCCGTGAAAACGCTTGACAAGCGGACACATGACCCAGGCACAGACGCGGAGGGAAGCTCACCAAAGACAGGTGACAGGCAGGAAATCCCTTTTGGGCGCACAGGGCACTTTCCTCCAAACACACTCACACACACACACACACACACACCAGCCGACAGACAGAGAGGGCAGGAAACTCACAGAGCGTGAGAGACAGGCAGAGAAGCGAAAATGGGAGACACACAAACACATACACACACAGAGAGAGTCATACAGCAGTGGCGCGGAAACAAACACCCCCAGGCAATCGCTGAGGCTACGGGGTTCGGCTCTCGACCACAACGACCTTCGGTTGAGAGAGCAGCCCAGGGCCTGCAGGCCGACCCGTCCTCGAGATCACGGGGGCACAACTTCTGGGGAGACTCACCCGAATAGCGTCCGGGCGGGCCTGAGGCTAGGATGCGGCGCTGCTCCCCCCCGGACCCCGCCTGTGCTTTCAACGTCCTGGTCAGCCCTTTGCCACGACTCCTGGCATCCGGAGAACGTCCCGTCGACCCGGTGGAGAGGTCAGGCTGGAACCTCGGAGCCCCGCCACCCAAGCACTGCCACGGAGGGCTCCTGTTTGCCAGGCCTCAGGGAGCGGTTTCTCTGACAACCGTGGGAACCACTGTGACGGCAGTCCCCCCGCTCGCTCGCGCCTCGCGCATGCGCATTGGCTCGGCCGCCCCGCGCTCCGCTGCGGGCAGTCAGGCTGCGTCCCCTTTAAACGATGGCGGCCGCTGGGCGCCAGGGGCTCTCCTGCTGCAGCCTTGGCAGCGGCTGGATCCGGGCTCCGGTAGGGGGCCGCGTGGGAGAGGGGGCCGCGGGCGGCGTCCCAGGTCCAAAGCCAAGACCCCCAGGAGTCCTGTCTTCAGGACCTCCTTGAGCCGATTTCCACCGGGGGAGCGGCAGCTTCAGGGCGCCTGCTGGGGTCATCTCATGACCCCCCATCAGATCCCATTCTGGACCCCTCCGAGTGAGAATGGATGGACTGAGCACATCGATTGAGGCAGGCAGGGCCTGGCTGCAGCCCACAATGGTCCCATGGGCCTCAAGGCGTGGAGTCAGCTGAAAGTTCACTGACCCATGGGCCCTCTGCCTCCCTCCTTTCAAAGAGCGGTGACCTGCCGTGATTCTCAAGGGCCTGGGGCTCCTTCAAGCTGATCCCGCTTTCGAGAACATGTGTCAACAGGTCCAGGGGCGATTTCGAGGAGGAGCCAATGCGTGGCAATGGAGTACCCGAGAACAGATGCTGTGAACGTGTGTCACTGAGAGCCTCTCCTGCAGGAGGATGAGCTCCCGGCGGCTTTTGTCCGCGGCTGCAGTGTGTTCGTCTTGATCAATGAAAAGAGGCCGCACCGGATTGGGATGAGATTTCAACTGCTCCGGGAGTCACGCATCTCCTCACGTGGTCGAGGCCTTCACAAACCCAAAGCGGAACCGCTGCGAAAACGCTTGACAAGCGGACACATGACCCAGGCTGGACGCGGAAGGAGGCTCACCAAAGACAGGCGACAGGCAGGGAAT